CCTTATCTCTCCCATGTTCTCTTCGTGCCTCCTACACCAAGGTTCTATCCTCTCGACCTGTCCCAACCCCAGCATGGCTCTGAAAAGCCCTCAACCCCCTCGATTTTTCTGGTTAGATTTCTAAGCTACACATTTCTTTTTCTTTTCTCCTACTACATATACATTATTTCTTCCTCCATCTCACCTCGTCCGCGACAGCTTCACAGAGCACAAATATGTGAGGGAAAACTACCCCCCTCAAAAACCCCAAGAAACAAGTGAAGAGATTAGTGAAAAATAAGCAAAGGTAGATAAACACGGATATAAAGGAAGCCTACGTTTTTAAAATTCCAGAAGAAACAGCATATGAGTACCTGAAGGATATAGTAAGACAAAATTTTAAGTATGGGGAGATTGAGAATGGAAGGAAAATTGCCCAATTCCAGAACTGCTTGTACCTCTATCCCCCAACTCTAAAGGTTGGGTCCCTGCCCAACCCCAGGAGCAGACTCCAGAGGACTGAAAAATCAGAAAACCACACTAAGGTACAGGAGTGACAAATAAAGCTCAATCTAGGAAAAGCAAGTAAAAATGCACAAAAAAAATGAAAATTTTCGTTACAGCACAAGAAATGAGTTTCTTTACCTTCCAACACTCACTTTCATTTTCTCAAATACCAATCCTCCCCACTCTAAACCTAGGTCCTTCTTTGCCTCTCTAAACCCCACCCTAGTTTCTGCCTTCCTTGCAGAATGCTTCCAGCGTGCAATTAATTCTTCAGCTTAACCATTCACCCACACTTCCATACCACCTCACACAAAAGTCCTCCCACTCCCTTAAGAGGGCAAACCAGCAGCTGCTAAAGAAAGGACATTAAGTCACAACTAATTGGAGAACTTTAAAAAACAAGTCCTCCCCCTCCCCCTCCCCCCAAGCAGCCCACAGCATCTGAGGCAGTGCTCAGAACACCAAAAGGAAAAAGTGAAGGGGGAACATCAACACACACAGAAGTCACCCGAAACAGCTAACTTCGTAAAACAAACATTCTCGACTAGAGTCCACAGACTGTGAGAACACAAAAGTTATCCAAGATAAAAATCACAAAGCAAAAATCGACTGCCAAGACAAAAACATTTTTCCTTTCACTGGGCAATTTATCACGACGCCAGACAAAGAGAGACAAGACAATCCTCAATTCAAGACGGAAAACACTCAAGAAACGAAACGCACCAGAAGAGAGGCGGTGGGCGTGCAGGAAAAACGGACACGAGCCAGCCCAGCAAGCTCAGCGATGAGCTGATTCGGGAGCTGGGCCAACGCCACCGAACCCAGGACAATTTCACGTACCGGTTCAAGAAAAGACCGAAACTCACACACTTAAGAGAAAAGACAACGAAACGCTCGTTTTGAATTCTGGGGCCAGACGACATCTTAGCCCAGCGGGAGTGGACACGAAGGCTCAGAAGAGACGGGGGCCAGATAAAGCCTGAAGCGGAGCCCGGCGTTTCCTTCCCCAGGCAGCGCTCCACCGGCCCCGCGAAGCTTTAACTTTGGAGAAGACAATGAAGGAGTGGGGGGCC